AAGAGTAGACTCAAAATAAACAATGATAGTGCAATGATTATAAAGACAAAGAAACAGAACTTGATTTATCTCAATTCTATCATTCTGTGACAACATGGAGTTTTTATTTGTGCTTAAAATATTTAAGAGGGCTTCCCAGGTGGCCTAGTGGTCAAGTATGTGCCTACCAACGCAGGAGACGCAAGGTTCGATTCCTGGTTCAGGAAGATTCCCTGGAGTAGGAGATGGCCACTCCAGTATTATTGCCTGGAAAATTCCCTGAATAGAGAAAGGAGCCTGGCGGCTACGGTCCGTGGGGTCACAAAGAGTTGAACACAACTGAGTGACTGAGCAGCAGCAGAACATTTAGAACTGGAACAGTGAGCAAATGAAGAAGGATAACATTTCGTAAATGCAAATTTTATAGGTGTGAAAAATGTACATACATATGCATGAAATATATTTATTTCATCTTATGGTTATTACTGAAAATAATTTTCTCAGATAAAGGAGTCAAGGTATTTTTAAATGATCTACTCTGAGGTCAGATAACTAGACACACCAGTGACCACTGCTGCCCATCTTCCTTGCCATGCCTCTTTCAATTGGTATGTGTAACAGAATGCTGACTTTGATTAGCAATAGATATGATAAGGGGACACATATTCAGAATCTTACTGTTACTGAAACAAAGCATCAAATCCGCATTTCACTTCAGTGATGCAAAACCAATTTTAGAATACCCCTGAAGGGTCATAACAAAATCATAAATAAGTGTAAATAATCAATTAGTATGTCAAGACATATGTAAAACACAGACCTATGTATGTGCTTTGTGCATCTTATTTTATGTATCTTCTTGGAAAAAAGTTTAAACATCCTTTTATTTAGCTTTTAGATGAAAGAGGAAATTAAAACTGAAAAAAAACTGAAAATCATAACATTCAGAAGTCAGTGGCAAGGAGAAGGGGCTGCATAGCATATCTGTGAAATGTAGATAAGATAGAATTGAAAGAAAAATTCAGGAGTTTTAATGTCTTTATTGGGGATAAAAGCATAAAATGACAAATTAAAATTTTGGTTCAAGTAGCTAGTGGGAATATTAACTCTATATAAAAAAGAAAAAAGAAAATAGGATAAAATAGTTGTAATAAATATAATAAATATAAATACATTTATATTGTAATAAATAAAAATTTAATTATTAATTTAGAAGAATTAATAATGTTTGCCTCATACAAATTAATAAGGAAACGGCAAAAGAAATACTTATGTAAGTGGAACTAAAAATATGGAAAGAAAGAAAAAAAAACATGAAAAGGCAGGAAACATAAGGAATATGCTTAAACTCATTTGCCATCAAGGAACTGCAAAGTAAAATAAGAAAATAAAATAATTTTCTATTGCATGAGCAAATTTTATTACTGATAACATCAAATGATAGAAAAGCTGAAAAAAAATCAGATTTCTGATACACTGTTGATGAAATTTGAATTAGTGCAGCCTTTTGGAAAAAAATTGTCAGTACTTATCAATATTACAAGTGATATACCCTTTTGATCTGACAATTTAATCTAGAGAAATTTATTTTACAGAAAGATTTGTTCACATGTTCACAAAGATATTTGTATAAGGATATTTATTACATCTTTATTTATAGTAAGAAAAATAGGAAACAACTTAAAAGTCAGTTAACTTGGCATTTTATCTTATGGAATATCATTCTGTCATTAAATGGAATGATACAGATCTGTATGTAGTGAAATAAACTCAAAATACCTTATTCCTAAGCACTTTATTAAGTGAAGAAAGCTAACCCATGGGAAAATGTATACTATGATCCCCTTTTTGGAATTTTTTTTTAACTTAAGTAAATATGTATACCCATCCCTGTAAATTAATGCATAGAAAACAATCTGGAAAAACACACATCAAACTGTTTCTTCATGGTGTGGCATTGGAATTGGGGTAGGGAAATAGTAGAAGACTTTTATTTTTCATTCTATATGATTTTGTATTATCTGCAGTTCTTTCAAGAACGCATTTATGAAAACTGTGCAATTGTGATATATAGACTGATAGATAGCCTTTAAAATTGGTACAAAGGATAGTACAATTGTAGTAAATGGAAAACAGTCCAGAAACTAACAATGAAGACAGGATACTTGTAGAATAATCTCTGGAACCAGCTTGCCTGAGTCTAAATCTCACAACTATGTGATCTTGGGATGGTAATTAACCTCTTTGTCTCAGTTTATTCATCTGTGAAATAAGGGTGGTTAATGGAACATTACCCAAGTGAATATGTGTAAAATCTTTAGACCAGTGTCTAAGCATGTATAAAGCACTCCATGCATATATAAAAAGAACGTTAGCTATTCTTGGTAAAGTCAATAGAGGAGCATTTGCCAAGATTATAGACAGGACCAAATGTCTGCTAACTGTTGATTTCAATGGGAAAAGGAAGCAGTGGACAAAAGATGAAAGGAGAGTTGGGAGAGAAGGATGACTGGTGGAAAGTGACTCCAGAAGGTACAGAATCAGTACAGAATAGATTCAGTACACAATAGAATCAGTACAAAATAGAATCAGTAGCACAGAATAATATGGTAGGAAATTATTTCCAAATAGGATTTGAAGCATGGATCCAGCATTCTGGAAAAAAAACTTACACAGAACTGTAACTCCAGAATTTGGAATCTGCTTTGTACTGAGAGTGCTTACATATTGGACGTAGAGGAAAGGAGCAGTTGTCATGGTGGCTTAGGAGATGAGTATGGCTATCAAACTGAATGACAAATTAGGGCATTAGAAGGACAGGAGGAAATTTCAGAGCCTCAGAACTGTCAGTGAAAGTTTTAAAGAATTATGGAGATATGAAAGTGAAGTCGCTCAGTCGTGTCCGACTCTTTGTGACCCCATGGATTGTAGTCTGCCAGCTTCCTTCGTCCATGGGATTTTCCAGGCAAGAGTACTGGAGTGGGTTGCCATTTCCTTCTCCAGGAGATCTTCCTGACCCAGGGACTGAACCCAGGTCTCCCACTTTGTAGGCAGACGCTTTACCGTCTGAGTCACCAAGGAAGTCCAAGTGGAAATACGAAGGAAACTTAAATCTAGGTGTGGAAGCTTAAGAGTGTGCTAAATCAATCAGTTACAAGAAGCTCTGAAGTTTCAGTTAGATTTTCAAACTTCTTCAGCATAGGAAATAATGACATTGGTGAGATGAACTGTCTGCGTACATCTGTAAGGGATGTAGATGTTCTGTTTTTGTTGCAGTTGTTTCTTTTAGAAGTTTGGTAGCATTTTGAATAGAGCTTTCCAGGTGGCTCCTGCCAATGCAGGAGAAGTGGGTTCAGTCCCTGGATCAGGAAGTTCCCCTGAAGAAGGAAACGGCAACCTACTCCAGTATTCTTGCCGGGGAAATCCCACGGATGGAGGAGCCTGGCGAGCTACAGTCAATGGGGTCACAAAGAGTCGGACACAACTTAGCCACGGAACCACCAGCATTTTGAATACCATGTATTTCATTAATGTTAAAATGCATTCAGTCATAACACATTACATCTACTACTACTTTTTTTTGGGTACTTTGTTTTTTAATAAAATAGAACGTTTAATGTATTTGTTAACCCTCAAATATTAGTCTGTTTTTATAATTTGAAAAGAGACGTAGAGAAAAACCACAAACATAATTTTAGCAATGTCAATTACATCTAATTCTGCTTGTTTCTGTCATGTTCTAAATCCCTCACCAAGAGTTGAAGTATAGGAAAGATGAGATGGGGATCAAGAGTGGGCATAGGGACAAAGGAAACGGGAGGGGCATGTGACATTTATCCCTCCACGTACTTGACATGTCTTTCCCATGCCTACACTATTCTAATGGAACTTCTTTCCTCTTTGGCAGATGTTTTGGAAGAAAACAGATGAAGGGTGGACAGACCTATAGAGTAAGTAAAAAGAGACCCTGTATACCTTTGTGACAAGGAAATGTATTTTTGTGCATACATTCATGGATCCATGAAACTTTTAAGACTATATCTCACTTTAAGTAAACTCATATGAAAATAATAATTGATACATGCAAAAAAAAAAGAACCCAAAACAAAAGGTTATTGTTTACCTTAGAAAAGATTATTTCCTGTCATGAATGTTTTCTCTTGAACTTCTTTGAATTAGCAAGTGATCCCCAGGGCAATAAACCTAAGAATTGAGTTACAGTCCTTCACAAATGTATCATTATTTGCCCAAATTCTAAAAGCAGAAACATAGTGATGCAAAATGTGGGTCAGTAATAATTTTTTTTTCTTGATGCCATTCTAAATGCCATTGGTACTGAAATAGAGCATAAGTTGAATGTAAACCATCCAAAAATATATTTTTTTAAATCTATGAAATATGCACCCAAAGTATCTGAATACAAAATCTAACCTTTTTCCTCAGCCTCCCTTGGTTGGGGACGGGGGCAGCCGTTACCGACTTGAAGACAGCTAGTTTGCCCACAACTCCAGATTTGAATTTAGCCACTGTAGGGGATATCACCAAGAGAGTGTCAGTATAATTCACAGCAGTGCGCATAAAACTAGCTTAGGGGTGGAGGCGGGCGGCGAGGGATAGAGGTTGAAGGGATTGAGGCTGAAAACATGGGCCCTGGCCTAGGGACACTGAACTGAAGGGACAGGATGGCCCCTGGGGACTAATCTCTAGCTCTTAGGGTCTATTGTAGGCAAGCACGATGATAATTTTACAAGCCTAATTACCTTTTTGGTGAGTAGAGAGGTTTTCCTAAGCTATTTATAAAGTGAAATTGGAAGAATTAATGAAGAGGAGGTTTCTGCTCAACAAGTGGATTGGCTGAATTAGAAGCATTTTCTGCTTTGTCATCTATAAAAGTCAAGAAAATGTTTTATAATATGCGTTTGAATATCTATTTTGTTTTTCTGATTTTAGATCTGTGTAACACTTAGAGTGGAAACTTTGCTTGGCTTTATCCCTTTTTGATATCTAATTAAACCTGATTTAGTGGAGAATTTATCAACATGCCTTTTTCCTCATATTTCATTTATGGATATGGACAGACACCCATTTTTACCATGCACTGTATGTTGAAAGATCAAATACATCAGCATAATTTAAATAAATCTGAGCCCTATAAATTCCCACTGGATACAAGACCACAAATGGAAACAAGAACAAGGGCATGTTCAATGACATTAAAATGCAACTAATTTAAAACACAAAGGAAATACATTTCTATGGAGCGCCTAATAAATCTACAGCACTCATTTCCACAAGATTTTAGTGAGCCAAATACCTCAGCAAATTTCAAGAAAGAATTACACATTCATAGCACAGGAAAAAAACATTTGTGGCTATGAGGCCACATGAACTATCAATTTCCATGCTTTGGTTTTGAGTTGAAAGAGATTCCAGCCAACTTCCTAGATTAGTAAAAATCGCTTGATAATTAGGGAATGTGCTAAAATAAACTAGATTTGAAGGTCTTCATTTACTTAATTCTTTTATTTGACTGACGGGTTTATTTCAAGTAGCACTGGGGATACAGAAATGGCAGAATGTTTTCTTGGTTATCTTTGAATTGATTACACCCGTAGATCATTAGTGTAATTGAATCAGTCTCCTGCAAAGATCGGATGATATGCAGAAACAGTCTTATTTTTATGGTAAGACAAATATATTTGTATACGAATATTACCGGAGGAAAAGAGAAGAGCAGCAGAATGACAGGAGAGTGAATGAGAGCTGGAAGAGAGAAAGAAGAAAGCGGTGATCACGTGGCTGGCATCACAGAGTGGTTCTGAGCCAAAACACAGGTACGAAGTCAGGTTTAGCTAAGGAACTAGCTAGAGCCTTTGTTTTCCCTCCTTATTACAAATGCTGCTTGTTTTTTTATTTGCTGGTTTTATGTTTGGCTGCGGGTCTCGGTTGCTGTGCACGGGCTTTCTCCAGGTGCCCAGAGTGAAGGCTGCTCTAGTCGTGCTGCGCGGGCTTCTCGTGGTGGCTTCTTGTTGAGGAGCGCAGGCTCTCGGGCGCGTGGCTTCTCCGGTTGCAGCTCACAGGCTCCAGAACACAGGTGCGTTAGTCGTGGCGTATGGGCTCAGTCGCCCCATGGCATCTTCCCAGACCAGGGCCTGAACCTGTGTCTCTTGCCTTCCAAGGCAGATTCTTAGCCACTGGACCACCAAGGAAGCCCCACAAATGTTTCTCAATGCATAGTCTTCCATGTAATGTGAATCCCCATGTTTTCCTTTTTATTCCTCCTCTCATACCAGCCAATACTAAAGAAGAGACGCACAAGTAAGCTTCCCTTTATCCAGATACCTTCTTAAAAGTATCTCTGAGGTTTAAGAAAGTCAAATGTCCCTTCCTATGAGCACAACCTTCTGAAGTATTATCCGTGAACTCTCTGCAATTTCAAGGCCTTGATCTTTCCATTCCTTCAAATATTTTGTAAGTCATCTATCATCCCCCAGGCACTATACTAGATTCTGGAGATATGTCAACAAAATAAAATATTCTGCTCTCAGGAGCTTATGTGCTACTGGGAGAGGGGAGATGGGAGAGAAGATACATAGTAAAATAAAAAATAAAGCATTGATGGTAATAGATGCTAGGGAAAAAGACAAGTCAAGAAATAGGAGGTGTGTGTGTATGGAGGCTGGGAAAATGGTATAGTTTAAATAGAGTGGTCAAGAAAATTCTCACTGAAAAGTGTTGGATGGACACTGTAAAACATAAGGAGTGAGGTTGATATAAGGATGCTTCAAAGCAGAAGGAAAAGGGGTTATGCAAATTCTCAGAGGCAGATAGTGATTCTGGATTTAATTTTGGTAAAGATGGGGACTTGGGGATCTTGACAGAATTGTGTCATTATCTGATTTGCCTTTTAATGGCTCATACTTACTTTGAGAGTAAACAATTTGTTTACTCATTGAGAGAAAACAAATCTGAAGTTTTTCATTGGTAGGTGTAGAGTGGATGATATAGAAGTTAAAGTCTTTAGTACAGTTGCAGAAATTAAAGTCCTGTAAGTTGATGGGAATTTTCAATAGAAGCATATGAGAAGAACAAATAGGGGCATCGATGGAACCCTGCTGGGTACTAACATGTAAGGGATGGAAAGAGATTAACTTAAAGAATCCAAGAAAGAACCTGTCAGAAAAGTATGAGAGGAAATAATCATGAAAGGTGAATACTGTTGAGCTTCACTAAGGACAGATGAGCTCAGACACCATGAATTTGTACTGACCTAAAAGTGGACTGAAGTATGGTTGTTTGATACATTTAGCAGTACTTCTGTGCCAGTAATAGCATAGAAGACTCATTGAAGAACTGGTTAATGTTGTGTTTTGCTAACCAGGTATGATAAACATTAACATCCAGTAATTGAGATTTTAATGAGAGACAGTAGAGAGTATATTCAGCCCTGTGATCTCAGGTAGGGAAAAGTAAGTAAGACCCAAAGAAGGATAAATAATGAGGAAACAGGAATCAAGAAATGATGTGTCTTGAGAATCTGAAGAGCAGATTTAGTAGGATGAGCTTGAAAATGGGGATAGGAAAGAGTTGTGTAGAGTGAGATATGGGTGCTTAAGATTTTTAATGGGTAGTATAATATAGCAAAATCTAATTATATTGAACTTAAAAGTTGATGCCTTTGCTTAATGTGTCTTAGACTATAGGCAGTTTCATTTCATGATACAGATTTAACTATTCTCTTTTAACTTCTTTTGTTGTTGTCATAAAACCCCAAGTAAAAAGATTCTCTTCCAGGTGCTTTAGTTAGAAACTTCTGTTCTAGTGTATACCAACTGACCACTGTAAGCAAGACCGTGGGCCCCAGTGTAGGAAAGCTGCCTCATCTTGCAGAATCTTCTTTTCCCTAGGCTTTTTGCTGAGTTAGTGGATATGAACATTTTACACAAAACTTACATAGTTTTAGGGAGTCCAAACCTCACAAAAAAAGTTTTGGCTGTGATTAGACCACTGAATGCTAGTTTAGTGTTTTTTTGGTTAAATAGTTTGGAATGAAGTATTCATACTCATTATTTAATAAAGTGAAAGAAAATCAGATATGTAAAGGCAAAGATGTTATTTAAATAGAAACATATTGTTTACTCTCAAATATGATTTCTAGAGGTTAGATGAGTAAATAGATAGATCTTAGTTTTAATTTTAAACTTAAGTTGAATAACTCTCTTGAAGCAAGGCAGCATTGTTGACTGCTTCTGCTTGTACATCTCCAACTTTTCCTTTTTTTCTTTTCTTTTTTATTGAAGTAGAGTTGATTTTACAATGTTGTGTCAATTTCTGCTGTACAGAGAGTGACTCAGTCATATATATATACCTGTGCTTTGCGTAGTTGCTCAGTTGTGTCCACCTCTTTGCGACCTCATGGACGGTAGCGTTCCAGGTTCCTCTATACATGGGGATTCTCCAGGCAAGAATACTGGAGTGGGTTGCCAAGCCCTCCTCCAAGGGATTTTCTCAACCCAGGGATTTAACCCAGGTCTCCCACATTGCCGGTGGATTCTTTACTGTCTGAGCCTCTAGGGAAGCCCATAAATATACACATACATTCCCTTTTATAATTTTCTTTTTCCATTATGGTCCATCACAGGACACTGAACATAGTTCTCTGTACTGCATGGCAGGACTCTATCATCCATCCATTCCACATGTAAAAGCTTATATCTGCTAACTCCAACTTCCCACTCTGTCCCTCCCTCAACCTTCTCCCCTTTGGCAACCACCAGTATGTTCTCTATGTCCATGGTTCTGTTTCTGTGTAATAGATAGGTTCATTTGTGTCATATTTTACATTCCACATATCAGTGATATCATGCAATATTTATCTTTCTACTTCTGACTTAACTTCATTTAGTGGTAATCTCTAGTTGCATCCATGTTGTTGCAAATGGCATTATTTGGTTCTTTTTATGGCCTAGTAGTATTCCATTGTATTGCTAGTAAGAGCAGGTCACATGTAAATGTACCACATCTTCTTTATCCAGTCATTGTTCAGGGACATTAGATTGTTTCCAGGTCCTAGCTATTGTAAATAGTGCTGCTATCAACCTTAGTCAGTTCAGTTCAACTCTTGTGACCCCATGGACTGCAGCACGCCAGGCCTCCCTGTCCATCACCAACTCCCAGAGTTTACTCAAACTCACGTCCATCAAGTTGGTGATGCCATCCAACCATCTCATCCTCTGTCGTCCCCTTCTCCTCCTGCCTTCAATCCTTCGCAGCATCAGGGTCTTTTCNTATATAAGGTGTGATTTAGAAACAGCAAACATTGTGATATACCATTGGTAAAAGAGAATGTCAGAAAAGACGTTAGGAATTAGATTTGGGGAAGAGTAAAGGAATTAGATTTGGGGAAGAGTATTATGGGAAATAGATGGGGAAATAGTGGAAGCAGTGTCAGACTTTATTTTTCTGGGCTCCAAAATCACTGCAGATGGTGTTTGCAGCCATGAAATTAAAAGACGCTTACTCCTTGGAAGGAAAGTTATGACCAACTGAGAGCACATTAAAAAGCAGAGACATTACTTGCGAACAAAGTTCCATCTAGTCAAGGCTATGGTTTGGTGGAATAGATGCTCCCTATATGAAAGCTATGCATAAAATGGCGACAAATGAACTCAGAGGTTCCTCTTCGTCACTACTCTCCAAGTGTCCATCTCTGATGTAAACCTGCAGAGGGAGAACTTGGTAATTCCCTGCAACAGAGTGAAATAAAAATTGTATGATCCTCAAAGATAATGCTCCCACAAGTAAATCTAGCAGCATAGACTTCTTCTTTTTCATTTAAACCAAATGTCCATTTTCCTGTAGCATGAATAGAGAAATTATCAAGAGAAAGAATTTCTCATAAAAGCTTAATTAGATGTTAAGAGAAATAAGCTAATAGAAAGAATTAATAAAAGGGAAGACAATAACAGGCATATTTTGATGAATAATGTCTACTAATGTGCTAAATTTGGAGTAAAATAAAAGTTATGCAAAGAAGTGGGAATAAAGCAGAGAAAAGAAAAAGGAACAAAGTTCTCGGAGTATATAAGAAAATGAAGGAAGGAATGAAAGACAGCAATGAAAAGTAGATGTTGAAACAGAATTGAAAGTTCCCACCATTTTTTAAAACATTATTTAACTAATAACATTGAAAGTATTAATATTAAACTACAGGGTAATTAGTAAACAGATAAAGATATTTTATTAAAATTCTGTTTACATGCCACTGTATTTTTTAATGTACTATCATTGTAGTAGAACTGTCTATAATCTGTTTCTTTATATTATTGGATAGATTATTCCATATAGAGTTCCTATGAAAATAGAGTAATCATACAGTGTCTCAAATGCAGAGGACTCATTATGTGTGTACATTAATGAGAATATTCAATTCTACTTGAATAAACACAACCATCATACTGAAATTTTAATATTTTCTGGATGCCTAACTATTCCACCAGTGATTTAGGATTACCCACTTATTTAAAGTGTAATTGGAACATCCCCCAAAATTTAATGATTGCTCCTATATTATAGCCATGTGCTCGGATTTATTCAGAGAGAGAACAGTTTCTGCAGCATCCTTTAAAAATAAAAAAATAAAGTATCTGATTGTGATTGCTGTTTTGTAGGTTCAGACATTTAATGCATTCTTCCTTGGAAAAAAATAACAACTAGGAGCAATAATCACAGGCAAAACTTTGCAACACCAATTGCCTTGAAAAGGAAACAAATATTTCCCCCACACACAAGAAAAAATACTGTCCATTCCTGTCAGCCTTTTCAACCTCTTTTGTGTTCCAAGAAATTGCGAGTAATGAAAACAGGGCAGAGCCAATCAAATGGGTGTGTATACTAGTGCACTGTGAGAGTTGAAAGCTCTGCATTTAAAATAAGGTTTATGCATAATTCATAGACTATGCATGTTTATGTAAATTACCAAAGGCGGAAGTATATATGAAACCAGAATCTGAGGTAAAATGACGATGTTATAATATACTGCTGGACTTGCATCTCGCCAATTCAACATACCCCCTTTATACTATTCTTGAAAATTACATCATGTGCCAGTTCACACTAGGAAACCTAATAAAACTTTGAGGCTTACACCCATAGTATATTTTTCAACATTTCTTTCAGATTCCGTTTATTATTAAACACTGAAACTTAGCCATATATAATTCAGACAGCCTGGGAATAAAGATGTACGTACATATTCCTGTTAATGGGTGTTATATAAGTTGAGGGAAATAGAAACAGTGCCTAGAAATTTTATTTAAAGATGGGGAGGTTTTAAATGTATGGAGATTTCCACTTTTAAAAAATGAAGGAAATGAACTCTTCCGTCACTGGAAACAGAGTCAGTGAATTTTGGAAGGTAAAGTAGTATTTGGAAGGCAACCTCCCACGTGACAGGGAACATTGGTGTGGCTTCTGGTTGGTGATATTCAGCTCAGACTCACCTTCTGGGTTAAAGTGTCCTTTCCAATCAGTCATTGTGGGCTGCCAGCAGAGAAGAGCTTATTTGCATGAGCTCTCCACCTCCTGGTCAGCTGTGAAAATCTTGGCAGCGTAACACTGCAATTGGCAAAGGAGTGTTTTAAAAAAAAATAATTTAATAAATAAGGGCTTCCAAAGAAAACACTGTCACAGAATTAAGTCCAGTGCACCTGAAATTCATTGCTCTGTTATCTTCTAAATTGTTATAAATATAGCAGGCATTTTGAAGTCACTTCTGTTTATTCCTTTCCTAATGTACTGTGTGAACCATTTTTCACATGTGTTAACATAGTATATGCAAATGGCGTTTAATGTGTTTTATTCACAGAATGCACTTACAAATCATTTTGTGTATGGGAGGAAGCAGTTGCCTCCCTTTTGCATGTGAAACTGAAAAGGAGTACATATCACTACATTTCTCAAATAAGAGAAAATTTAAATGGAATGAGGAAGCCTACAGATGCTATAAGAGAAATTTTCTAGGTTTCTAATTCAGCTCTGTGTACCTTTTTCTCACTTCATAGACTTTTCAAAATCTGTTGCTGAATTTCCCTCCTTAAGAATTTTAAGCTCTTGTCATGAGAAACAGTTATCCCTTCCATTATTCGTGCTTAGCTCCACGTATCCTGTTCCTCTTAGAAATTAAAGGAAAAGCTCAGAAACAGCAAACAGTTACAGGTGAAGCAAAGAGTAATTTAAACATTTGTGCTCCATGTACTACCACACTAACAGAATAATTTCTCACACATCTAATAGTCATGTATTTTATTTATGGCTATTAAAGTCTTTCAAATAATTTGCAACAGAATTTATTTTAAATAGTTCTCATACACTAAACTACATAAATCAGTATGTTTTAAAAATGCAGAGTAGGTTAAATATTGAAAGTATATTAAAATTCCATTTTATATAGTATTAAATATGTAGCTAAAAAGAGCATCTCTAATTGTGATAAAAATAATGTGAAGAATGTGTACAGCATAATGCTTTTATTCTGCTAATTTATAGAAATAGGTCCCTAAATGGTTATTATTTTCATTCCATGTGTAGAATGACCAGGAAAAATGCTAGCAATTACTTGGTGAATGGTGTTCTACCCTGGCATGAAGCTATCACTGATTTGCATACAGCATTGTTGGAGATGAAGCCTGTGACATCCAGATCATCATCAACACTGGGAATTCACACTGCTAACTACCTCCTTATACAAACACACACTGCCACTTATGGATCAAAGGGAGTGTTGCCACTGCGGTTCTGAACTATTAAAACACATCACGCTTCTGGAATTTTAAACATGTCTAGAGGTGGGGTCTTTTAGAAGGATATTTTTTTCTTTTGTTATGTAAACAAAAGGAATTCTTTTAGAAACTTATTCTATGGAAATATTGGTCTTTTACCTACATTATCATGGTTTCCTCAAAGGAAAAAAAGGCATGTAGCACAACATTAAGATTTTAATTATTTGATATGTTAGTATCAAAGAGAGTGTAAATGTAGTTAGGAAGAAAATGTAAAAGTCTTCTTTAAATTTAAGAATAAGAAAGAAAAAATCAAAATGTAGATACAGCCCACTAATTTTTGAGCACTGTCTTTTAGTAGCTTCTGTGGTGACATGAGTCCACAAACATAAACTCAAATGAGGCAACTTTTATGTCATTTATCAAATAGATAGACAAAAGAGAATTTTATTTTTAATTATTGGGATAATTATTATTTCCTTTGTGTTGTATATATAATCACTGATTGACTTATTTCCTGCTATTCATTCTTATTTACTAAAAAAAACTAAAAATTTTTCTCTGTGCATTTTAGATTAAGTATTTTAAATTTAACATAATGAGGGAATATGATTTAAATAAAAGCTTAATTGATAACAAAATAATGAATTGATTGTGGAACTTGAGAATTACACTCTCAGCAAAAAGATATTTTTCTACCAAATTTTTGAGAGGACATGTGAATGTATTAGAGAATTTACGTTTGCCCTATGGGACTGTCTATAGTAGATTGTTTCTATACATTATATGTCAAGACTTGTCTATTGAGGCAAATACAGCAGGTATGCACTGGAGTATAAATTATAAAGTATGCTTACAGGGTATTTTTTTTTATCATGTCCTCACCCATTCTCTATTACCTTTCTTGTCCTCTAATTTTCATGAGGCTCTGTCGTGCATCTTATTTTCTATTTAGTGAAGAAGCTGAGTGATCGGTTATGTATGATAAGAGGAAAAATCAGTCAAATGTGGACAAGGCTGGCCTGATAAGACTGAAATGAAGTATGCTTTTGGTTGTGTAATAATTTCCAGCTGTGTTCTAGTTTAAGAAACCATCCAACATGACACTCCTAGCTTAACTCAGTCACACATTTCATACAGGTCGTATTTTTCAGATGGCACCAAGTTAGAAGGGATTGCTAACACTTCAGAAGAGAAGATCAGAATTCAAAGTGACCTTGATAAATTGAAGAAACAGCATGAACCAGATGAAAACACTGGCTTGCCACAGGTTCTTCAGGGGGGGAAGAAAGTCTAAGCTGGAATTCATCACTCATTTATTTATTCATTCATCCAGTATTTATTGAATTCCTACTATGTGCCAGCCACAAAGTGAATATTGGTTAATTTTAGTTTGGAATTCTGACCCCTCCCTTGATAACTGGTCATTTTAGGAAATAAATCTGTCTCAAAATTGTACGTTCCTGCATTGTGCAAAACTAACAGGTTTCAGAAAAAAAATACAAGCAGATCAAGGAATACCATCATCATACTGATATATGTGTGTGTGTGTGTGTATACACATATATGTGTGTGTATAAATATATACATATATATACTATATATATGTATATACACTCTTCATTCTTTTTAAACACAAGTCACTTTGAGGAGATAAAACGTAGTATTTAATGTTTAACTTTGGGTTACAATAGGTTGGAATGGGGTTCCCAGGTAGTGCAGTGGTAAAGAATCCACCTCCCAATGCCAGGAGACACAAGAGACTCAGGTTCGATTTTTAGGTCAGGAAGATCCCCTGGAGAAGGAAATGGCAACCCACGCCAGTATTCTTGCCTGGAAAATGCCATGGACAGAGGAGTCTGGTGGGCTACAATCCATGGTGTCACGTAGGGTTGGACATGACTGAGCACACACACACACTTCCACAGGTTATAGTAAAAGTAAGTAAAAGATATTTTCATACTGTTTATGGGGTTCTCAAGGCAAAGTTACTGAAGTGGTTTGTCCTTTCCTTCTCCAGTGGACCACATTTTGTCAGAACTCTCCACCATGACCCATCTGTCTTGGATGTCCCTACAGGGTCTGGCTCATAGTTTCATTGAGTGGGCCTTAGGGAGCATCACTACTAACAAAGCTAGTGGAGGTGATGGAATTCCAGTTGAGCTATTTCAAATCCTGAAAGATGATGCTGTGAAAGTGCTGCACTCAATATGCCAGCAAATTTGGAAAACTCAGCAGTGG